GAAATTAACTTTAAGATGTCTACGTGGAGATTTCAGCTTCTTACTCGTCTCGACTTGGGACCCACTTCAATTGATCTTCGATCTTACAATTCAACGGATATTACCTCGCAAGAGCATGATTTCAATTATATACACCTCCTATACTACCTTGAAGGGAACACATTGAATTGATATACCATGCATATTTGCAGCAATATAAGTATACTCATGCAAAGTTCCTGATCTTGACTCATGACTTATTGAGTATGAGGTCTAGATATGCTATCATCTTTATTCCTGACTTGTGCCATCTTCGAATTTTGCCTGTAATCAGAGTTTGCTTATCCACCGCTCAAAAGTATTGTCGGCGTGTTTCTAGACCGATTAATGACGACTGACTTTGATGCTTGATCGCAATGCCTTCAAGAACGCGCTACACGGCGTCAAAAATTGTCTATACTGAGGTGGGTTTTACCTTGAAACAAGATTGGCAATCGCCCTCGTTGTGTTCAATTTCTCTAACAAATCATCAAGCCTAAAGCATAACATTAGAGTAGAGATTAGTGGCAATTAAATATCTCTTGACGACTATAAAAGCACATCGCCTCGTGGGCATCTTTGTCCTAGCTCAAAATTTCTTGAAATTTTTACTAGTTCGATCAGAGCAAACTATCAACCACTCTTTCGTTCAAAGCTTTCATCTCGTTTGAGTCACACCCTCGTTATATCTCACTCGCACCTCTCGAGTATAATTGTTTATAACTTTCTCGTGAACCCCTTCCAAAAGCCTATCATGAAACTCAACGTCACCATTATCACTATTGCCGCCATGTTCGCCGTTGCGGCAGCTAGTCCTATGATGGAAACCGAAAAGCTCGCAGAGGTACCTCGTTCAGCTTACAACGATGGCAAATTTGTAACTGGGGCGTCGGGTACTGCACCACCTGCGCATCTTATGGCATCGTCAGGGGTTCGTACGGCTCCTTCCGAGCGATACCACGGCTACGATAGACTCGCGCAAAGTACGGCAGCTCACGGGGAAAGACTTCAAGACCCGAGTCGACTTCAGGACCCTTCAGAGCGTGCTAAGGTCATTGGCAACTACCTGATTTACATCTTCCCCCCACAAGGTGCCAGACCCGAGATTATGAACCACAACTTTCTTCGACAAGCGGCTAAATTGGTATCCGAGGGTAATGAGCAAGACTCATCGGCCAAAGCTTTGAGTGAACACTTAAATCTCATAGCTACTGTCGTTGAGAAAAAGGGAACCTTGAGCGAAGAAACCCATCTGGGAGTTCAAGAAGCTTTCAAAAATTACCTCCAATCTCATCCTACTGTCAAAGGAAACTATGCCGGAATATATAACAAGATTGTCAAAGACCGTGCAGAGTGGCCTCAAAAGGTCACTCAGGCTGTTCGAAATCTTGCCAATCAAAACCAAGTTCTCAGCGAGCAAAACCAAATGCTCAACAACCGACTTCACAAAGTGGAAGGGTTACTCGACGGAGTCTTCTCGACCATGCCTCCAAATGATCGACAAGCCGTTGTGAACCATGTACAAGCGAAACAAGCTCACGATAGAGAAGCTTTCCGTCTTAGACAAGAAGAAGCTCTTCGTCGGGCTAACGTCAATGGAGCTGAGAAGTATCACGAGGGCGAATCTCACTACGCTACTGCACCGGTTCATCCTGTCACCAAACAGACTTCAGCTGAGGCTGAACACATCTATGGACGAGAACCACACGCTGCCACCAAGTCCGCGGATGTTGATGCTCCTCATGGTGCACAAGTCCCAACTTCCGAGTCTCACCACAACGCGGCTGATGAACACGAACAGGATGGCGCCGAGTACGATGACGAAGACTGGTATGACGAAGACTTGGGTGATTACGAAGACGAAGAAGATGCAGAAGTGACCCACAATACTCCAGAACACCAGGGAAAAGCTGAACAATCCCAGGTAACCGGCTCAACAGCTAACACCCATCCCGCTCCAAGCAACGAAAAATCTGCACCAGCTTCGGCCTCTGGTCATCAATGATGGTACTTGAACCTTCCTCATCTAACATTTCTATCGTTTCGTATGACATTTCATGAAGCTAACATTTATTTAACCAATAGGGTATCATATTTTTGGGAAAAGCTTGACGGAAACTTATGAAGCTTACTCATCTTACTTGAACGGGATCTAAAATTCCATTCATTCATTCATTCATTTGGATAATCGCGTGTCTCTCCTTATCACTTTATCTTAAAAGAATACGAAAGCATTTTCATTTTCTATCTTGTTGTCGTTCTTTAACCTTCTCAATTAATATATGCACGAAAAGATATCTTGTTATGTAAAGCTTTAGGGATGAGTCATGACTAGGGATTGAAACGTATGATCTCTAATAGATTACCTTGCGATCATGCAAGACAATCAAGTAATTTGGGAAAGTGATGTGTGATTCAAAAATGATTGAGTAATTAAATAACTCATATATTGTGTTGATGGTATGCTATCCTTGTTTGAATTCTTATGTCAATGTGGGTTAGATCGCTATGCCATGAGAAATATCAGTGTTGGTTTCTTGTCAAACTAAAAGAGAATAAAAAGATTGTGCGCTGGTAGTCTTTTTTGAGACAAATTTGGAGAAGAGTGATAAAAACCAAAAAAAAAGTGATGGGATCAATGCCGCTTGGTAACAGTCACAGCAAGTGTTCTTTATTCCGGAAAGGTCATTCAATCGAATATTTCTCTTGAGGATAAGATCAGTATTAAGCCTGAAAGATGTCTGTCATGATTACCTTCCATCATTTCCTCACTTTTGCTATTCAATGTAAAATCAAGGATTCAACCAGTGTAACGAAATTTGAATTTGACGTGTTTTAAGAACTTTAACGTGTCCTTTTGTATTTTTCACTTGGATCGTGAAAAAATCAATCAAGCAGCTCAAGGTTTCTGATCTTACATTGATTACATTGATATTCATATAGTGTCCTCTGATTTTTTTGAAAACTTCCTATTCTTATGCAGCATCTCACTGTAGACACCGTCATAATTTGCTGCCTTGCGACCCTCACACATTCGTTATGATTCTTTTGACTTTACAGCCCTTGAATTAAATTTAAAATGATCTTGAGATCTGAATAGTATCCTATGGAAAAAAGTTCGTGATATATTTAAGAAGCGACTTGTTACAAAAAAAATAACTCATAAATTTAAACAAATCAGAGTACATAGAAAAGAGATGAAATTGGAAAAAAAATGTAAGATTGTAATACAGATGAAGAGGAGAAGATAATCAAGAGAAAAAAAGCTTGAGGGACGGATTTGAGATGATTGAAAGTAAATTAAATAATATTTTTTTCAACTTAAATCAAACTAACTTTATTTCTTACAAATCCACCTGTGAAATTTCTCAATGCGCTCGTCTTGGCTTTAACCCTACCCATTTGCATCATAGAGTAAGCATCTTCAACATCAGCAATTCTCAAAGGTGAACGAGCAGGTTCAGGTACAGATGTGTTCCCTACTTCGATTTCTTTCTCAGTCACCTTTCCTGTTGTAGATTCATCTGTGATTCCAAATGTATCTTCCAAAAAACTAGTTCGACTTGGTGTAAGATATGAAGGTAAATTAGGTTGAGGTGTACTAGGACCTGAGAATGGTCCATTTGGTTTAGGTCGCTTGTAAGCCTCTGATCCATCATAGTCATCATCGTGTCCGTCTGTTCCATTCGCTCTTCGTTTTTTCTTTGATGGACTGATGTGTATTTCTTCTTTTGGTTTTGAATCTTGTCCTCTTGCCATTCTGGCTAACTCATAATCACGCTTGACTGCCAAGCCTCTTTCGCAAAGGGATCGAACCATTTCGTATGAAAGGAATCCTAGAACATCCACCACTTCGTCTTTCGGATTACCTTCGATATAATTTGATAAACCGACAAACTCTCGGAACCGTTTGGCTGAATAGGAGATCATGACGATCAGTGACTATCTCGATTGCAATGCTGTGGGAGTTTTAACGAGCGAACCAAAACTTTAGCGAACCTTTTCGATAAGTAAAAGAAGCTTGTCGACAATCGGAATAATGCTGATACTCCTCTCTAGTCATATGTCGAGTGATTTCATCCGCTTCCTAGAGGATTGATAAAAATGATGTGAACGTCAGTCAAAAGTACTGAAAGACCGCAAAAGTCAAGTCAAGCCAAGCAAAAAACCAATAACTATAAAACTCAACTCTCAAACGTTTTTCAGAAGCCTCATAAGCTTCCTTATCATCCTGATCCTCTTCTTCATCCTCATTTTCTTCATTAATCACCAACAAATCAGTATAAATCGTACTAAGTTCCCAAGGTATCTTTAATTTTAATTTTTGAGATTTCATTCGATTGCTTTGTCCATTAGATTCAGCTTCAAAAGATTCAATATCTTTTTCATCCGTTCCATCTTCTTTGGCTTTCTTTCTAACATCTTTCCATCCAAGGTAATTTCTCAATCGATTTACTTTTGCTCGATCATGTCGAATGAGAAAAATCAAATCTTCTGTAGTCGGAACTCGTAAACCTCGTCGTTGAGCTAAACCTCTAGCTTGAATCACCTGAGAAGGAGTAAGAGGTCAAAGTAAAGATCTGTAAAATTTACAAAAATTGATTGTGAGTTTTGAAGTTAGCGTACATACCAGTTCAGCTACTTGACATCGTACTACATCCTCGATGTATCTCACTGTTTCTTCGTCAGGGTCCTTGACCTCCCCAAAGACAAATAACTGGAAGATCGAGAAACAAAAGTGAGTAAATCGTGAGTCAAGAACATAGTTGAGAAATATCTACCATTTGTGATATTTCAGTAGCATACTTTGACGTTTTGGAAGATGGGGGTGCGGCCATTGTTTTCGTAAGTTGTGTGAATTCGATTATTCGATACTGAATGAGTGAGGTTGGCAAACAAGTCGAAAGTAACGTAGGCTTTGAGAAGGTAAGCGAAGTTGTCAACCAGAATGTATTATTTCATCGAATCACCAAGCAAAAAAACGACAGGAGTGAGGTTTGAACTCACGCTCACAAAGTGAAGCAGCTAATGTGGTTTATAACACCTATGCGATATGCATTCAAAACTGCCGCCTTAACCACTCGGCCATCCTGTCACGTGACTGCATCACGTAATGTACACATTTGTGTCTGCCGAACTGATTTGCACAAATTCAAAGGAATATAGATCCATGAGCATTCTGAGTGGATTTCCTGGTACATACTTGTTGCCAGACCTTCTTGTTGCATAGGAGACAAAGGAACTTACTCTAGAGGATTGAAAATTTGGCTTTCCCAGATAATGTACACTCATTTCAAAACAAAAAGCAATTATTCAATTTCATAACTCTTGAGTTGACTTTTGAATCTTTAAAGGCCTTTTTTTGATCAGCCAATGATCATGACAAATTGGTAGCCAGTTGCAAATTTTACTAGTTTTAGAATCTATCATCCTGATATGCCACTTCAGCTTTGAGGTCAAACTTCCGGTATCTCTAGAAACAGTTATTCAAAGGAGATATCTACACGTTTAGATCCACTTCCATCCCTCTAGGTGTCTTCATAGATCAGAGGTCTAGAAATGACATCCAAGGTAAGCTTGACAAAGATTGGATCTGATAGTAATATCCACCTCATTACAAGGTTTCAGAGAACAAAGCTCATTCAGGATCATATGTGATCCATTTTTTTTGATGAGGAGTGTATATGAGCTGACATTGGGGAAGAGTTAGCAAGGAGTCATCATTGGTAGAAGAACTCGACACGGGGATGCAAGAGATGGCCGAGGAATGTAAACAGAGTAGTTCTTTTTTGACTCCAGTCTTTTTGCGAAATTTACGCGGTTCCGAACCTCTACCAGACTCTTATCCAATTACCAAACATACAAGGCTCAAAGATTAACCCCTCAACCTCGGTGCTTTGTGTGAAGGAGTTCGTAAATGTAACATTCTTTATATTGCATTGCTGTTTCTTGTTTGGATTGTAGAACATTGAAAGGGAATATCACGTCTCTGTACGTCTATAATATCTCCATCAATTGATGAGGGGAATATATATTCAGATCTAATTCTGCGGATAAATATACTCAAATATTCGAAAGACGAGACTTTATGCCTTGCTTGTTTAAGAAGGGCAGTATCACACATTTAGAAAAAAAGGCTTGTTGAGTTACATTTTGTGCCTCAGGTTACAATACAAAGGTAGTTTAAGCTCCGTAGGTTGAAGCTGAGATGTTTCCACCTCGTCCAGTCCAGTTCACTGTGTCAGCAGATAAACCAAGGCAATGAGTGAATGTGATCAATGCCAATGTGAGGAACAGCAAAAATAAACTGACCATGGTGATCTTTGCCTTCAGGGTATTTATCACTAGCATGTTCCGGTAGAATTCTGAAGGTGTGAGCACCAAAGTAATCTCTTTGGGCTTGAAGCAAGCTAGCAGGAAGTCTCTCAGATCTGTATCCATCAAAGAAAGCTAATGCGGTGGAAAAAGCTGGAGTGGGGATACCCCAAAGTGAGGTTTGAGCGATAATTCGACGCCATCCGGGTTGCGCTTTGTGGATGGCTTGGTTAAAGAAGTCATTGAACAACAAGTTTTGAAGATCTGGCTCAGCCTTGAAAGCTTTGGTGATCTGGACAGCATTTGCCATAAGTCAGACACGGAATTGACAACGTTCATCAGGGAGGGGGATACTGACTTCCGCCAAAAAGACCGATCGGATGATGCATCCACCGCGCCACATTAAAGCGATCGATGGGCTATAAGAGATCTCATCAGCTCTAGTCATTCTTGTCAACATAGAAGATGTGAGACTCACTAGTTCAAGGTCCAACCATATTCTTTTGCAGCTTCACGCATCAACATGAACCCTTGAGCGTATGATATCAATTTGCTAGCATACATCGCCTGCTCCAAATCATCGATGAATTGCTTTTTGTCTCCTTTGAAAGGCTCAATTTGGGGCCCTCCAAGTAACTTGCTAGCCTTTACTCGTTCTGATTTGATACCCGAAAGGCATCGAGCAAACACTGCTTCACCAATCAAGGTCAAAGGCATACCAAGGTCGAGAGCGTTGATAGCAGTCCACTTTCCGGTTCCTTTTTGGCCAGCTTGGTCAAGGATTTTGGTCACAAGTGGAGTACCATCGGTGTCGTTGAATTTGAGGATATCACGAGTGATCTCCATGAGGAAAGAGTCAAGGACACCCTTGTTCCAAGTGGTGAAAATGTCTCCAATCTCAGCCTCCGAGAGACCAAGACCGCGCTTCAAGATATCATACGCCTCGCAAATCAATTGCATGTCTCCGTACTATTCAAAAAATACATTTCAAAACACCATCTTGGGCTTTCAGAATTGGAAAGGAAACAAAATGCGTACTTCGATACCATTGTGGACCATTTTGACGTAGTGTCCGGCTCCTTCTTGGCCGACCCAATCACAGCAGGGTTCACCTTCGGATTGAGCAGCAGTCTTTTGGAAAATCTCCTTGATATGTGGCCATGCTCCTTCGGAACCACCGGGCACTGAAAAAAGATTAAGACAATAAAGGATTAGACACAAGCTGAGATGAAGATATCAGAAACTGTAGCTCACTGAGCGAAGGTCCGTATCTGGCGCCCTCTTCACCTCCCGAAACACCCGATCCAACGAAGAACAGACCCTTGGCCTCTAACTCTTTGCAACGACGAGTCGAATCGGTGTAAAGGGAGTTGCCACCATCGATGATGATGTCACCCTTCTCGAGATGAGGCAAAAGTTGCTCGATAAAAGCATCAACAGCCGCACCGGCCTTGACTAAGAGGATGATCCGCCTGGGTGTCTTGAGATTCGAACAGAGTTCTTCGACGGAGTGAGCTCCAATTACGTTAGATCCCTTAGCTTGATCTGCTAGGAACTCGTCAACTTTAGAGACTGTACGATTGTAGGCTACTACGGTAAAACCCTTGTCATTCTGCAATTGATGAACCAACGTCAGCTAGCTGCAATAAGGGTATGAACGCAGGTCTCCTGGCATACCATGTTCATGATCAAATTGCAGCCTGCCAAAAAGGAAAGCAGGTGGCAAACGGATAAGCATGACACTTGTCCAGCACACATCGATTCGAGTAAGCCGTTGACTCACCCATAACGCTGTTGAAGATATGGATGCGACCAAGTCAGTGACAAAGTCATGTACGAAGGTGAATTCAGTCTTACTCACGCCAAGCCAATGAGACCGATATCACCCTTTGCAGACCTGATTGGATAGGAGATCGAGTCAGTAAACTGCTTGGATCGAGATAGAGTAAGTGAAGATAGACCGACATGTTGATTGTATCTCGAATAGAATTCGTCAAGTGCGAAGTGAGTTGAGATATACGCTGAGTGATAGGTCTGGAGGTAGAAAGAGAAGAGAGAGTCCCGTTAGCCGATTCGGACATCGCTCGACTGGCACTACGAGTGACAGAGAAGACTTGTGAGGATGATCGGAATCCAATGATGGATGTGTGTGTGTGTGTGATGGGATTGGATTGGCATGACTTGAATGATAGGAAGGAAGCAAACTGACTAGGTATGATGATGATAATCAAACCCCAATCAGAAGAAATCAAATGTTTCTTTCCGTGAAGATATATGAAGTTTGATGGTAAAATTGGTTTAGGATGAGTTTGTAATACGTCTGATTGGTAAACAGGTCTTTGCTTTTAAACTCCTTCAATCTCTTTCTCGGATCGATCGCAGCAAATCACACCACAGCCCGCCCGATGACTTCATTGACTTTTGAATGGGGTCTCGATACAGCTCTCACTACCAGGCTATAGCCTTATACATGTGTGCCAATTGTCAGGATTGTTCCGACCGTCATCTCCTTAAAATACAAATCTCAACACAAAACAGAAGTCTCTGCCTCAAACACCTAGCCCCTGTATGTAAGGTGGGCCATTGCGCTCTTTCAGCTATGAGACCAACATTCACAGGTATCTTGTTGAGGGAAAAGTTGTGGTGCTAATTTTGACACAAGTAAATATCAGTCTAATCTCAGAAGACAAGGAACATAAATGTTATGATATCTGAGGAGTTGGACATTACCTATCATTGCACACCTATGACTCTTTTGGTTTCAATGCTTCCCTTTTTGAGGCTTTCAAGAGTGAAAAAGTCTGGTTCCATCAGATTTGATTGTGAGTAATCAAGTCGATAGGTAAATAAGAATGGTGAAGTTTAAAGAAATTAACCTGACTGAAGTCACATTTGTCAAAGTGCAATGAATATGATGGGTTATAGTCCACATGTACATAAGAGAAATAAGGCTTACATCTGGGGATCAAAGAGAGGGGTTATATGATAATGGAGACAAATATCATGGGTTGAGTCACAAAGCACAGGATGTAGCCTAGTTGAAAACAAAGGAGGATTCTGGCAAGGGTCATGTCATTGGTGGAATAATCTAATCATGGGTTTTGATAGATCATGTCTTCCAAGATAAAATGTTGCCCACATGAACCTGCAAAGCCTGGCCACCAATCCCCATTCATGGTAGTTCAAATCATACATAAACCATATTTCAGCTTCAAGTATAGCTCAGACAAGAGATTAATGCCAGAAGCAGTGAGTAATGGGAGTAGTGAATGCAATATTCAGGTATGAAGGTGTGGTGCTACAAACATGGTTGGCAGATGAAGAGGAAAGATCACACAAAGCTTTGGCTGTGACCTCACAATTTCTCCAATTCCATTCTATCAAGAGGTAAGACACAACTTCCAAAAATCGTGGTCGACATTCAAGATTTACAACAGCTCACGATGAAATGATAGAAAATCAGAGAAGAGCTCCAAGGATCATTGGTATTTCAAATGATGAAGTAGACCCGTGTACAAAAAATTCTATACAGATTCTAATTTGATGTGATCCCCGAGATGTGTCTAGGTTTAGATTTTTGAACTCGCTGGCGCAACTTCCATATCTCAACCCCTTCCCAATCATCCAATTCCCATCCCATTTGTTCAGTGACTTTTACCAAGCTGTTTCGATCAATTCGGTCAGCCTTGAAATCCAACTCCTCTGCCATATTGAAGAAATTTTCTACAAGAGTCGGATCACGCCTCTCAAGAGCAAGATAGATAGGTGGAGGTCGAGTTG